ATCAATTACTTTCAGACAGGAAATTCATACCCCGGTTAGCATCGGGTGGAAATGAATGCATAATCAAATCTCCCATGACACCTCTTTGTGATCACAAACTTCTTCCAAACCAACACAATGAATTTACCTTCAATTGACAAAGCAACTTTTTATAAGCATACTTCCATTTCTCCTTCTCAGTTGATCCATTTGGTCATCTGTCATTATTTAATTTTTGGAGAGCAACCTAAAGTGTGGTTTAATGAGAATTGATCTCCAGTCAACTTTGATTTGCTGGTTGAGAAGTGAAAAAATTGGAGTTAGCATTAATATAGTCGTGGTGTTTAAATGGATTTGGGCATTTATATAGAATGCTCTGTCAATTGCAGAATAATTTGTTTGTATTACCTTGAACCCTTTTGTTCGCAGTACAATAAGAGAGGACTAGAAGAAAACAAAACCCTCCCACCTTAATGAGATAAGGTAGAACTCCCACGTACTGAATCAAATTAACTTTAATTATAGTCCTTTGGCCCATCCTTATATGGATCAATTTAAAGCTTAAAACACTTGCCATTCACCTAAACAAACCATTCACTTTAACTATCCCCGTAATGATTCCGGATTTGGCAATTTTTGCCCCACTGTCAACCAGATTTTGACAAAGTTAAGCTCAAATTTAGCACTTAGCTTTTTTGAGATTTTGTTCCTTCACCAAGAGTGTGGTGACCATTGTAATTTAACAGACCGAAGCTGGAAATGGGATCACTTGCAGGTTGTGTTGGTTGCAAACTATGTTCCTGCTCTGAATGATCCAATTTTAATTGGAAGCGTTTTGTTTAGCTGTTCAGTAGCCAGTCTATCATTTAGGATGTTTGCCATTGTTATGGCATTGTGACATTCTTAGAAGAGCTGCTGAAGCTGGAGGGCTACTTCCAATTGCAATGATCACCAACTCAGATGGTTCCCAAGAGAATTCGTTATCACTCCTAGTAAGAGTTGTTACGAATGGCTGTGGAATTCCATGCATTGACTTGAGGCAGGTCAGCTCTGAGCTTTCTACTGCAATGGAGGCTGATCTGGTAATGGTGCCTGAGTCCATCGTAGAATTGTGTGCGTGTTTGTATTCATAATAGCTAAAGTCACTCAAGACAGAAGGGACACACAAGGTTAACCATTCTAGCTAAATGTTGCATGCGTCAAGAGCAATGAGGAACGACTCAAACAACTCTTACAACTTCGAAGCAAAATCTCAGGAGCAGACTTCACTTGGTCTTCGAAAATTTATAGTTCCTTTCTTTCCAGACGCTCCAGCAAAACGGATGAAGGAACACAAAGGTGGACGAAGCTTTCGAGTCCTTTGCCTTCAAATGAGATAAGGATGAGATGATATATGATTACTTCTTTGGATTTTCTAATTACAATACTTCTTCTAATTAGTTTTGTCACCACCAGTTGTGAAATACATATTTAAGCATGCGACACTTGATATGTTAAATTTGCTAAATCTCATATAGTGATATGAATTTTTATAAATTCATGCTCAATCAGTTTTGGACAAAAACTTCACTGACGCTACGTAATTGGTATACATTTTTAGTATCTTCAAATGGTGAAGTTTGACAAATCTCGGAGGTGTTGTATTTGAATACCAAATGAAACACCAAAATCAATGATCCAGATGCCCCATATCTCTTTTTAAATATTCATTTGGTTTTCTAATGGGTTAATTTCATGGTTGGTAACGGGGTTTACTAAAAAGGTTCGCGTTTGGTCACTAAAAATATTTAATTTCATTAGTAGTCACCAAAATTACTTAAACATTTTAAGTTTGGTCACACTTCGTCCAACTCTGTTAAATTTATCTGATGTGGCAGTCAACTATTAGAGTTGATCATTAAGTGTGTGATCTGGTAATTAAAAAATTAAAAAAAAAAATTTATTTGACAATTGTAATAGCCTTGAACTCTTCTCATATACTAATGTAAGCTCTTAACAACCGTTTTAACTAATTTACGAGATATATGAGTTATTAATGAATTAATATTGATTAATTGACTTTCTTAACTATTATTTTTATTGTTGATTAATAACCATAAAGTTTGAAAAAAAGTATGTGATGAATTTTATCTTTTTGTATTATGATGGCCTTGAACTCTTCTCATATGCTAATGTAAGCTCTTAACAACCACTACTATTTTATGTGATATATGTGCTATTTATGAATTAATATTGAGTAATTTACTTTCTTTAACTATTAATTTTTTGTTGATGTTAACCATAAAGTTCGAACCAACTATGTAATGAATTTTATCCTTTCGTATTATCAATATTCAATAGGACAATCCCTTGGAATTTCTAATTACTATTTTACTGTATAATTGTCTTACATTCTTTTGGATTTAATAGAAAAATAATTTAATATTATCGAATCTTATTAAATATTTAAATAATTAATGCTACGAGTAAGAAGTACACAGATTTCTTATGAAATGTAAAAATATATAAACAAAAGTAACCTACGATAATATGATTATTAAAACTCCCTATGAACTAATTATCAGTAATGTCATAATAACAAATAAAAAATTTACTTCCAAATTATCAATAAATCATTTAAAATTTTCAAATTTGTGTAAAAATACAATTGATAAGCATAAGATTATAACAAATAAATGAAATTTTTCCAATCAACGGGTCAATGAAAAAAATTGATTCCTCCATTTGATATCTAGCAAAAGAGAAAAAGAGGCTAGAAATGCATACGAATCAGTAAAAATACATATGAACTAATTACACGTAATATCATTAACAACGAGTATCACAGATATTACTTTCAATTGTGGGGAGACTAAATATTTAAAAAATTTAAAATATAAATATTGATAACCATAAATGTATCAAATAAAATGAAATTGATTCGACCAACGGGTCGGGTAAAAGCTAGTTATTAAAAAGAAGGAAAAAGAGTTTCTAGTTGAAAGACTAAAAATTACTATATCCAACCAAACCAAAATTACGGCAGCAGAGATATTAAAATTATTATAAAGATAATTAGTTGTCAAAATATGAAACAAACTAATAAGTAATAACCAAAAGAAACTACACGGGAAGGGGAAAACCCCGAAAGTTGCGGACGACTCTCCACGGCTGACATGGAGGGGTCATGTTATGGAACCCCTTTAATATATTTAAAGATATATAATAACAATTACCCTAGACTTTCGGGATCTGTTAACCCTTTTAAGGGTTGGAAAAATGACACCCCTATTAATTATAGTTATTTTTTGTATTAAATTCGTGTTGCATTTAATAATCTTTGGAAATTAAAAATTCATCTTAATTACATTCCTTCCTTTAACTACCATTGCACCCAGTGGCGGACCCAGAATTGCCGGAGAGGTGTGTCGCCGATAAAATAATGTAATAATTAAAAAAATTAATTAAAAATTAATAGAAATTAAATAGAAATTACTAAAAATTAATTCATAAAGTTCACAATGTCATGTTTACTAGAAATGTCTGTAAATACATTCATTGCTTATGTTGTGAAGCAAATCCTTTTCGATATACACAACTAAACAATGATTCATTAAATTCGTCACTCAACCGATTTCGAAGTTCATTCTTGATTATCTTCATAGCTGAAATCTTTCGCAACTTTCAATTGCAACAGGTAAAGTCAACATCAACTTCCAAAAGCAAGTAAAACTAAAGGGTAAAAGAAAAGGGAGATGTGGTAGTGGTTCTCGGTAATTAGAAACTAAAACAGGATAAGGGTGAATTTTTTATTTTCAATAAAGGAAGGGTCAAGGGGTGAAAACGGTGAGTTTCAAAGGATGGGGTTATGTTTATTTTTTCCATTGTTGGGTTGTGGTAGGGATGACAACCAAACCCATGGTCGCGGGTACCCGACCTCCTCCGACCCAGTCAATACGGGAATCCCTACATTGACTGGGTATGGGGCGAGTATGGATAAAACCCTCCAAAAAGGTTGATGGGTATGGGGCGGGTATGGTTTTTAACTCTCCAGCCCTATACCCATACCCAAACCCGCCCTACCAAGGATATTATGTTATATACATAAAATATAAGGAGTGTATGGTAACTTGTCAATCGAATGAAGAGTAATTAAAAGAAAAAATAAAGTGTTAAAATGTAATTGATGGCAACCAAACCTTAATTTCATCCTCTTATGTATTAGTTCCATAATTTTGGGTGGGTAGTATCCATATTTGTCACCATATTCGTCACCATATTCTATTATTAATGGTGAGTAGTTGTTGGGGCGGTATTACCCATGGGTATCAGAAAACCACGGGTATGGGGATGAGTTTGTAAGACTTTTCACTGCATGGGTATGAGACGGGTATGAGTTTGAATATTTGGAAATGGGGATGAGGTTGGTTTAGGCAAACCCGCTCTATTGTCATCTCTAGGTTGTGGTGTTGGTTACTCTAAAACAAGCATACTTATTTGAATTTACTTATTATTGTGTATTACTCATTAAGATAAATAACTTTATAACAAGAAAATCAATCTCGTATAATGAAGGTGTGTCGCTCACAATTATTTAAGGTGTGTCGGAAGTCCCGAATTAAAAAAATTTGTACCAAAAATATATAGGTACTTCACAAAATTTCCGGGCGAGGGTGTGTCGGACGACACACCCTACCCTTTACTAGGTCCGCCACTGATTGCACCTGTATACTGAACTCATATTAATTACGTTCCTTTTTTGGAACTACCATTGCAGTGATACATCTACCATTGCACCTGTACACGGGTTAGATCAGGTTCTTAAGGCCTCTTTTTTAAGGAAGATCTTAAACCCCTTTCAGGCAATAGGATAAGGAGAGAGAGTGATAAGTAATGATTGGCAGGTTATTAGTTAGATAATTATTAATGGTAAACTTGGTATTATGAAGAAAATTAATAGTTACTAAAAACAGGAAAAACAAGAAAAAACCCTAAACTTTTCAACCTCCCGTCCTCCAAAAGTGATAAGCAGCAGCGGTAGTATGAGGGACTCGTCCAGCCGAAGTCGGCGCCGCCATCTACCATCCCGACGCAGTCCGCTGTCTTGGTATCTTCTATCCCGCGGCCGAAGGCGACATCGTCGTCCTCATCGTCAGTCCGTCGCGGACTGGCACCACTCCGTTCGCCATCTCGCCGTGAACGTAGCCGCCGGTCGGAAGTTTGAAGGAGAGAGGAACCAGCAGGGGGAACTCGCTAATAAACTCCACCCCACATATACGCTTCCTATTTCCGGCCGCATTGTTGCTTCCAAAACCCCTAAATTGCATCCCAACCACGTCTCCACCTTCGGCGATTCTATTGACCGGATGTGTTGTGCATAGGTAGAAAATGTTAATAATTTGGGTTAAGAAAATTAATAACAGTTCAAAAAGTTATTGATTTATGTTGTTGTACACTACCGTAATAGCACATGACAATTTTGTTGACAATTGTTTGATAAAAGGTTAATAATTCTATAACCCGTGTTTGTTAACATTTTTTATGATTGCTGAGGTTCTATTATTGTTAATAATAATAATTGGCATGCACTAGTACGAGAGTGCAAAAAAAAAGAACGCTTAAACATTATTAACGACAATGCATAAAAATATTAATGTTTATGTTATGTATTATTAATAGTTTTGTTCACTTTATGAATAGCATAAGTCTACTTTAAATATTTAGTTCCGAGTTTAGAATCAAGAATTTTACTAGCATTATCAATACAATACACTTTTTTCTTAAGCGTATATATTGTGGTTCTAAGTTAGTAATTATTATTTTTAAGTAAGTTCACAATTTTATTTATGAAATGCTAGCAATATTTGTGCATATCATTACTGATACTTTTCAAGAAACGTTAATAATAATGATTGTATACTATTCATTATCCTCATAAATAACGTTATGTTGCATTGTAAACAATTCTCCGAAAAATGTTAATACTTTTATTATTGATAATTTTTAAAGTTATATTATTTACGTTGTATTTCATTAATAATACATCGAATAAACTTTTAACAATACCTCACATAAAAGTTGATAATGTTTGAGCACATTGTTGACAATTGTCCAAAAATTATTAATAATTTTTATTACTTGTCAATATTAATGATTTTGTATACCTTTTGCATAAACGTTGAAAACATCTGCCACGTTGTATAAACATTGATAACGATAAGTTAAATCGTTAACAATTGGTCTAAAAACCATTAGTATTTCAATATACGTTTACATCCCACACAAATCCACCATCAACCCATTAACAATTGAAGTTACGAATCGGTACCTAAAACGTCAATATGATAACAAAAATGTTACTAATTTAACAATAAAATGTTGATAGTGATAACAAAAACATTACAAACTGACATATAAAACGCTACTAACTTAACAATAAAATATTATGAACGGGTAACAAAAACGTTAATAATCGTAATAGAACAAATTGGTAACTAAGAACACGTCCATCTTCCTCAAGGGGTCCAAAACACAGACGACCAAACTCTCTGGACTGCCCTTCAGCGATGATGATGATGATGATAAGCTTCTTTGATGACCTTGCTTGACGAAGACATCGACCGGAAAACGACATGGCATGATGGCAAGCGGCGGCGACGGAAGAATCAGAAAACGGCAAGCAACAGTAGCCAAAAAACTAACGATCTTCATGGACTCCCCTTTAGCTGCAACGTCGACCTCAGGCGACAACCGAACGGAGAAGGGACGACAAACGGAGAACTAGGGACGACGGCCGGAGAACTCGTGACGACGGACGACGGAGAACTCGGGAAGGAGAAGGGACTCGGGACGACGGACGGAGAACTAGGGACGACGGCCGGAGGAACTTGTGACTTGACATTTCGCCTGCCTGCTTGCGGGAGGAATAAAGAGAGACGTGGGCGGGTTAGGGTTTTTGAAAAAAAGAGACAGCCTGTTTTAATTTAATTGTAGTCTCCTTAATACCCCTAACAGCTATTTAACTAATAACTCCCAACTAACTACCTAAATTTGAGTTAGCCAATCACAAGGCTTTAAGTTCCTCCTTAAAAAAGAGGCCTTAAGGACCTGAACTTAGGCCCACCTGTACACTAATACCATTGCACGGATACAACTACCAGTGCACTGAAAAAAGGAAAGTAATTAATATGTATTTTTAATTCATACAGATTATTAAATGCACCACAAATTAATTATCTTAAAACCTATAATTAATAGTGGATGTCATTTTGTCAACCCTTTTAGGGGTAGGCATGCTATCTCATCCCTAGACTTTCAAATCGGTTGATGGAGATCAAATTATTGAGTACCCCCATGTATGAACGTCTTAATTAATAATCTGTTTTTGTTTTTTCCTCCAGTCACTCTTTAGCGAAATTCTCTTTTCTTTATGTTTTTATAAAAAAATTATGTCTTATTAAAAACCTATTTAATCAATCTATTGAAAAATTGAATTTCTATTATTCTAGTGAAATGATTTCATATTAATCTATACAATTAAAAACCTATTTGCTGCCTTTTGTTTCTTGTTTTTGCTGCACCTAGTGGTGTCTTGTTTGTTCCTGGATTTTTCTTTCCTTTTCTCTTAACCCACTTCGGATAACTTCCGGCGATCTGATGTGTGCCATCTTTTGTAACTTCTTGTTTCTTTCTGATTGAATAAATTCACCCTTATCTAAAAAACATATTGAAATCAATCACGCATCTACAAGATATATAAAGCCAAAATATATGTTGGATTTTCAGGGATTTGAAATTGCAGCTTTAAGAGGGTTTCACGGAGGGACATGGTTGTCAATTTACCCCCTTTAATTGAAGCTGTGCGTTTTAATGAGGTGCTTCCGCTGGACCTTATCATGGCCTAATGGGCCAGCCCCCCAAGACCAGCGCTGGGCCCAAACTCCCTCGCGTAATACAGCTGCAATACACCCACCGCACAAGTGCACAGCGGCAAACGACCACATCAACACGTCACGAGCTGCTGACGAGAACCCCTTCCCGTGTCGTCTTTGATCTGCAGCGTCGCCATCCCCTGCCCCAGAAATTCAATTATCACTCCGTAAAACGCTCCAAACTGCCCGCAATTGAAGAACTGCACCTTGACCTTTCGAGCTGCACCCGACGAACGAGCTCCTTTCGCCCCTCCCCTCCACCTTACGTTGCTCCGGCCACCAAGCTTTCTTCGTCGGTACGGTCGTCTCTCTATTTTCGGGCTCATCTGCCTCGCTCCAAACCCAATATTTCCTGTCATTTTAAATCCTCCTTCCGTTGCTACAGGCCATAGCGATGAACGGTGATAAAGACAGATAGAAGAGCAATGCAATAGCATAGTGCAGATGCCAGAGAGACCACTTCCAGACCTCCCCTGCATGAGAGCGAGCTCTGACCGACCAATCCTTCCCTAAGCTGAGGGATTCAAGTTAAAGGAAGATAGTCGATCTAATTGTAATGCCACGGAGTAGAAAGAGAGACGAATGAGGTATTGGATTGATTTTTTATGTGATTGTGAAGGCGCACAGGGACAGGAGATTGGAGAATAAGAAAGGGAGAGGGAGGAAGGTAGCATGGCGCACAAGGAGAAGAAGGGAGACAAAGGGATAGAGGTAGAATGGGGAATTGTATGGTGAATGCGAGTCCCGGTCAGACACGCCAGCGAGATGCAATTATTACTTTACGTTATGCTTTTGGGTTTTTCTGGAAAATGGAAGTGTCTGTTGGCCTTCTTTCCCTGGATCAGCTTTAGTTCATAATTAATTGTAGGGTTATAATTACTAATTAGGGGGTTTAACTTTTTTAGCTTTTAGTTTTAGTTAATTACATTGACATTAGATAATTATTATAGTTTCTTTTCTCTCTTTGATGTTTAACGTAGATTCAAAATCATGTATAGGTTATGTCATATGTGTAAATCTTTGAATTTCAGGTCTAAAATGTGCTGACATTCATCTCTTCTTTTGTCGCTCAGATTGTGTACTTGAATATGTCGTTCAGTCACATTTATTTTACATAAACTGCAAACTTGCAAGACCCGGAATTTGTAGCTCAAACTAATAATCAAAGCATCAACTATCTCACATTAAGAAACGAAGAGAAAAAAAGAAGATATAGACCTTTTTATTAACAACTAATTAAGTGGATTGGGGTGGATAAACGATGTATTCATTTCTCTTTTTCTTTTAAATAAAATAAAATAAAAAACTTTAAAAAAATTCGTAAACTTTAGGGGTTTCTATTCAACTTTTGAAGTCCGCTCCTTTTTTGGTCTAATGATATTATGTGAAGCTATTATCCTACTAAATACCATAAAGATTGCTTTGAAATTATGAAGTATCTATTGGGCTAATATATTTATATGGCTCGAACTTTACACATATTAAACATCCTGACCAATATTTTTTATCTATAACTTTGTGCCCTCAAGTATGCATCAAAGTTACGAGATTGGCCAAATCCGAAAGTTGACCGTTATCTTGGACAATCAAACGCGTTGATTAACAGTCAACGCGCCACGTCACTGTCATGTCAGCACATGCCACTTAAAACATTTCATATTTTCCTCCTATTACCATTTATCGTTTCTCCCAATCCAGCAGTCATTCTTTTTTTCACCTATTATCATTTAACGGGTTTGACCAATTTCGTAACTTTGATGCATAGTTGAGGCCACAAAGTTACAGATAAAAAAAGATTGGCCGAGGATGTTTAATATGTGTAAAGTTCGGGTCATACAAATATATTAACCCTTAACTATTTTTATCACCCTCTTTTCAATTCAATGCTTTCTGATAATCATACATTTTCATGATTTCAACTTATTTCATTCAAAATAAACTTTTACAGTAGGGAAACTACTACATTGTTGCTGGCCATCTCCGCGATATCTAAGTTATTCGGGAGTTCACCCGTACACAATTCATTGTTCAACTCACTATAATGACAATTTTGCATCATGTTCGATATGTTTCAAATCATTCAAATTCATATCCACTGCACGCGTTGTGATGAACCAAGATGATGTCTACTGGGATAAACACTATGGAGAGATACCAAACTCTATCATAGATCAATATTTTTCTTTCCTTCTGAGGGTTCATTATGTATGTTTTAGAGGAAGCAACTATAATATAGAACTATATGCCCTTCTAAAACCAATTATGTGCATGTTCTCATTTTCTTCTTTGAACTATTGTATACCTTCGCCCAATTGTATGTCTTATCTTCTTATCATATTGTGAGCATGTTATATGTGCATATTTTTTGTCTAAACTTTCCCGGCCAAGGGGCCGGGTCCAGTGCTAGTCTTGGATAGAAAGGAGTTCATAGGCTATTAGCCTTCCATTTTTCTAATATTAATTTACAAGATCTTCTATTTTTGTAACTTGAAATTTAGTATTGAGAGGATTACGGTTGACCTTTAGCTACAAATCTCTATCAGTGTTGTTTTAGAAGAAAAAAACTCAATCTTCTAATACACGACAAATTTTTTGAGGTACGTATATGGTACTTCTAAGTTAGCGTGAGTTGGAGAAAACGATCGACCACATCTATCAAAATAATCACAGTGTCTTTATGAGTTTGTGAATGTGGTCGATCGTTTTATCCAACTCATTCCTAGTCACAGTAGTAAGTCAAAACTTTTTGTCTAAAAAATATAATTATTTTAAAGTTGATTTTTTATTTACTCTGGAACAATCTTAATTTGGAATAAGAAGGTAGTGAAAAAAGAGAGTATGCAACAGGAAAACTAAAAGGGAAATAACGAATTTAATTCAATTGTCAAGAGGTCATCAAATAATTGAATAGCCTCCAAATAGTGATTTTTATTTTAGTAGGTGACGTGGGTTAGTGGGATTTTATGAAGGAAAAAAAATTCAATTAAGTGTGTGGCTGACGTGTTCAGTAATAAAAACGGCTGCAGTTTTAGGAGAAGAAGAGAATTGACAAATTAACCCATCCGAAGTATGCGGGGTAAGCAGCACGGGCTTAGGTGGCAAAACACTTATATTGACATTCGCTTATCTATCTATCTTCTATCTATCTACCCACTTACTAGTCACCGACCCGACCGGTTGGCCTGTTTCATTTCCAAATTGCGTATACTAATAGGTACCAATGTCGGGTTTATTTGTAATCGTGTAAATACAAAATAGGAGTACATTGAGTTTCGTGTGTTTTGTTTGTTTACAAAAATCTAGATCACTAAAATTATTGAAATGTAAATTTCTTGGTAACGTAAAAGAATTCAAATTATTGAAGTACTTAAACAATTTAAAATACGAACATCATAGTATTCTAGGACATCCTAACTGATTCATCGAACATAATTAATTTACGAAAAATCAATGGCAAACCCTTTACCAGGGAAACGAATTCTAAAATTGTTTTGAATAATCCTTATCTTTAGTGTCATTCTCGTACGCATCCTTCCTTTAAGGTGCTTCCATGCATTTCAACGGCGGATTTGGTCCATCTTGTACTATTATCACCAAAAATGAATAATAATTAATACCATTTTGGTTTGTTCAACATCAAACGCATAACACGCAGGCAAATATGGCCAGTAGATGTTTAAAAATTTCAACCTGGCCCAATATTAATTACTTCTGTAATTCTTGGATTCGCGAGTAGTAAGGTCGCTCATGAAGAGGTGAAATTAATTTTACCTGCAAATTTAGCAGTCGTTTGATTAGATGTCAGTTAGTTAGTGTCAATGTTTGATCAATGAAAATAAGGTAATTAAGATGCTGCCTTAACGTTGTATGAAACGATGCTAATTTGTGGTATTTCGGATTCGGTTTTTAACTCACCCAATAATAGCATATTTTTTTTGTAGAAAAAGCATAATTCTAAGTGATATGAAAATATAATTGTTATAATAACTGAACCAGATCATTGTCCGGACCAATAGGACCACCAAACCAATTACAGTAGTGATTCGAGTCATTTTTTGGCCGGTTTGGTATGAGTAAAATGGTTTTTATGGTTGGACATGAGACCGGACGAATAAGTATGATTGTACTGGTCCACTGATTTAGTTTTTTAAAAGCAACAATAAAAATAAAAACTATAACATAAACTAATATCATCGGAGCTCAACTACTAATTTTAGTAGAACCACCAAACCCGTTGCAATAGAGGTTCGATTATTTGTTTCGATGGTTTGGGATTGGATCAGATTAACCCCTCCAATCTTACGGGTCCACTGACTCACTATTTGAAACACAACAATTAAAGGAAAGAACTTTCACATAAAGTATGACCATCCGAAAACACCAAAATTGAAAGAAAAATTTTCACACAAAATGAGACCATCTAAACTCAACTACCAAGAAAATAGAATATTTTTGAAATACGTACTTTTTTCTATATATAATATTTGGGGGTAATTTATCAAAATGATCATATCAGTTTGCCTGTGAATCTATGACAAAATTGTTTCAAATATTTAAAATGTAACCAAAAAATCATATACATATATGACATAAGAAAATAAACATTCGTATATTTTCATTCAAAATGCCCATGTAAATTGTTGTCTCACTGCACCAATTAATTAAGAAATGAGACACCTAATACACAGTTGAAAACCTACCCTTATCCAGAGTAAGTTTTTTTGAAGTAATTATCCAAAGTAAGTTAAATGGACATTTTGAATAAAAAAAGATACAAAAAGATATTTTTTTGGTTTGTGTCATGCCAAATATTTTTTATTTATTTATATGTGATATCTATATGACATTTTTATTACGCTTTAAACGTTTGTAACTATAACTATATAATCATTTTCAGTTACCCGTAATATTATTATCCTCTTCACAAATCTTGATTAGCGTGAGGCTCATGAATTTCCTTCCTGCACAAAAATATATAAAAGGAGGTGAATTTGAAAATTCATTTTTGTCTACATAAGCTGCATGTATCAACATTTCGCATCTAACCTTGATTTCACAGCATATGAAACTTGCCCCAAAAGGAATTCCTTGCATGCCGCTTGTGATATCTAGATGAGAATAAAAAGTGCAGGTAATGACGCTGCATTCAGAGAGCGGCAGAAGTTATTAGACATGGCATTATAAGAATTGTATCATTCCAAAAGTAAACGAAGTACACAAATGAGAATAGTTCAACCATAATTATAAAAAGAGAAGAAAATAGTGCAACCATCGATGTCGTAAATTTATTTAAACGCCGTAAATTTATCATGCCACTTATATCGGTGGTATTCATATCAATTTTGTGGCCGGAATCGATTGATGTACCGCGATGACCAAAAATATGAATTCGTACAGTCAGTTTATATCAGTTCATGCTGGTTTAATAGACTATATCTCCAAATGTGAAATACCAATTAACATCAAATGAATTGAAATA